CTAAAGCCTCTCTACAACTGTCAACAATTTATCAAAGTTCATAGAGTTCTCAGAGGCATGTTGTTTAGGAAGTGGATTCCACTCCTGATAGCTGGTACCAGAAATGTTGATTGTGGATCCAAGTAAGGTCACGTTGTTGACAGTCTTTTCTCCTTCTGTCATGATGTTGCCTATCAGCCCAATGGTGAGAATTTTTGTTTTCTTAACATTGAGATGCAATCCATATTGAAGGCTTTATTCTTTGACTTTCTGCAGCAAGTGCTTCAAGTCCTCCTGACTTTCAGCAAGCGAAGTGTATTGTCTGCATAATGCAGGTTATTAATGAGTCTTTCTCTGATCCTGATGTCACATTCTTCTTCACAGAGTCTAGCTTCTCAAATAATTTGCTCAGCATACAGATTAAATAGGTCTGGAGAAAGAAAACAACCCTGACTCACTCCTTTATTCATTTTAAACCTATTTCATTATCTTTGGTAGAGTTCATTTAATGAATAATCACTGTGTTTTCAGATATCAAGCTGAATGTACTATACGCTATATCATGTTCAGTTATTACAGTAATTTTAATGAAGCAACACATTTGATAGGTGATGAAACAGACCAGAGATGTTAAGTGCCATAGCCATGGTCACACAGCTTGAATTTATCCAGATCAGATCATCTGATGTCAAAAGCCTTATTCTTAACCACTCTGATCCAGCTGGCTTTAAACATTGTATTTCAAGATGTGGAGAGATTTGCACTATAACATAATGGTGAAGTATCATATCTTAGGGGCTAGGGACTTAAGAGAAAACATTCCTCTACCTTCTTTGCTAACTAAAGAAATACCTTCCCACACTTACTAGGAAGCATAAGCTACTCCTCACCACAAAGCCATAAACATTAAAAAAAAAATGAATCCCAAGCAATGGTGTGCTTGATTCGGCTCGTATCAACTCACAACAACCAATTTTATGCATCTCTTCCCAAGTCCAAGTTTCCTGATGTCATATTGGTAGCTTGCAGTTGGCCCTGGCGGAAGCATTTACACTGTGGAAATTGGCATTACTACCAATCATGCCTCTTTCTCTTGAGAGAGCTGGCTATTAAACATTTACCAGCACCCTACTGACACAAAACTAAAACTCCCACCAGGAACAAAGGATTCACTAGAAAGAAACACGCCCCAACAAATACTCCGATTTTCTGGGATGCATTTTTTTCCTCCCCAATTCCTCTACCTAAGGCTGCTGTTAGGGATCCCTGCTGACACTCCACCCTTACAAGTCTCACAAACATCCTTGACTCTCAATGTGACCACTCTGCCTTTTCATTGCTGTTAACAATTTTTTTAAAAAATCACATTCTGGGCCCATTTCTCAAACCAACTCAAGGAAATCAAGGTGATTCTTTTCCTCTCCTCCATCCAAACTCTCCGTGATGTTATTTCCTCGATTTGGTAGAACGGATGCTCGTAGGATGGAGACAAAACGTTACTGCTGGTGGTTTGCTCAGGAAAGGAAACATTCTTAGAAGTCTACTCTACTGGCTCAGGGGCCTTTCTTCTCAGAATCTGCACAATAGGCTGTGAAAAAAAATTGCATGTTGTTTTGACCCAGCAGTTCCATTTCTCAGAGTCTAGCCAACAGAAATATTTTCAGCTGGGCACAAAATGTATGTACAGGATTATTCTGTGCAGCATGACTTGAAATGGTAGGAAAATTCTGAGCATGACTTCAGTGTCTGTCACTAAAGAAGTTGTCTAAATTATGGTCCACTCAAACCATTGAAGGCTTTGCAGCTGTTAGGAGAGTGTGGGATCTTTGTATGTGACATCCTGAAAAGATGCATGTGAGATATAAATGGGGTAAAAATTATCTAGAGAACAATATCCAGAGTGTAATAATATTTCTGTAAACAAAATGAAAGCATGAGTACATCTGTATATATTTACAATGGAGGGCATTAGAAAGTTCTGGAAGGACCAAACCTAAAATGTCAAATACTGTTGATGAGCATGGGGACCTCTGTTTATTAGTGTAGAATTGTATTCCATAGGGTTTTCAGGGGTTAGTTTCCCCAAAGTAGATCACCAGCCTTTCTTCCAAAGTCCTCAGAGTGAACATGGACCTCAACCAGGGTCATTAACTGTTTGCACCAACCAGGACTTCTAAGGAAGGACCCATCCCTTCAAAGTAATTTTCACTACGTGCAGTGGGAGAAAGGCCTGGCAGCTGACTTCTTAAGAAAAAAACAAACAAACCTACCAAAACCACCCATCAATAAAAAGGCCCAGCTACTGTTTTTAAATTGAATTCTTTCTTAATTAAGCCCTCTCTTTTTGTTAAAAGTAAATAATGCACGTGAAATATTTGTTTTAAAGCAAATTCTGGCAGCCATAGGGTAACTCAGTCATGGTAGCGGTGGGAACAAGCGGAGGGGCTCCAGGCCTCCCAAGCCCCTGCCTCTTCAAAGCTTCAACTGAAAAAAAAAATTCCAGCTGTTTTGTATTATGAGAGTTCCCACTTTAAAAAGGGAGGATTTATGCTGCTGGGGGAAAAAAAATTAAAGACTGCAAACCAGGGCATCAAAGCAGACTGTGGTTTAAAATTCATCCCAATCGAAAACACAGAATCAAGTAGAGTTGCTGGCCTGTCAATAGATGCATGATTTATGTTCTGGGCTGCCTTTGAGGTTAGTTTATGTGGGCACTGGAACAGGAGAGGGATGGGGAGGACTTTGGATGCTGTGTGGTAACTGTCCGCAGGGGGAAGGAATTCATTAAGTCGGGGGATTTTAGAAGAGGAGAAAGACCTGGGAGGCAGGGCCAGGAGAGGTGCCAGGGTCTGTGTATTGGGAGTTGGAGAAGGAAGTGTTGGAATGTGGAATGGGGAACTGTTTTATTTAAGGGAGCCTGGGGTTTTGACAGAACAATCCTAATTCCTTAACCCTGGGTTCTCTTCCTTTTTTGTCCTTCTTTTGTTGACAATCTGACCACCTATGTTAAAGTACTTGCACAGGTGTGTGTTCCTGCAGCAGGGACCTCAGGCATCTGCTTGGGTCCTCCCTCTCATTATTGTTATGTACCATTGAGTCGTGTATAACTCAGTGAGCCGGTGAACAACGGCTCTGTCCTATCCTCATAATCTTTAACACCTTTGAGCCCGTTGCTCCAATCATTGTCAGTCCACCTCCCTCCTTCTATGACCTTCCACCTTTGCTATCATGATGTCCCTCTCCAAGGAATAGCTTCTTCTAGCAACATGCCCAAAGTATGTGAGATGAAGCTTCGCCATCCTTGCTTCCAAGGAACATTCTGATTACATTTTTCCCAAGACATATCTGTTTGTTCTTTTGGCAATCTTTTGGATATTCATTACTCTTCTCTAGCACCACAGCTTAAAAGCATCAATTCCATCCTTATTCAGCTTTTAGAGACATAACAAGTGATTAAAAAGACCATGGCCTGAATCAGATACATCTCAGACCTCAGACTAACATCATTGCTCCTCAGTACTCTGGGTACTCAGTACGATGGCTCCTGACAATGGGTTTGCTCAAGCGGTTGTGGATCCAAGCAAGATCAAATCATTGACAGTTTCAGTCTTTTCTCTATCTGTCATGCTGCCTATCAGTCTAAGTGGTAAGGATTTTTGTTGGTGTTGAGATTTAATCCATATTGAAGGCTGTGTAGTCTTTGATCTTCTACAGCAGGCATTTTAAGGGTCCTCCCTACTTGGAGGGGTGGTGGGATACAGTCAATAACTTTCCATGATCTAGACTACTTCTAGAACCTCTCCTTGAGCAAATCTGGTAAAAACACCAAAGACCCATTGTTACTGAGTTGATTATAACTCATATCAAGCTTACAGAGCAAATTATAACTGTTCATATATTGTCAAGGCTGTCGATCTTTACAGGAGCTGAATATCTTATCTTTTTATTTTGAAGCAGCTGGTGGATTCAAACTGTAGATCTTCTAGTTAGCAGCTGAGAACTTTAACTACTCTGCCACCATGGCTTCTTATTAACTCAAACCTCATTCATTGCTATTGAGTGAAAACTGACCATAGCTAACCCCTGTTGAGTTTAGGAAGCGGTAAATTACACAGGGGGAGATTGTTCATCTTTTCTCCATGAAGCTGCTGATGCATTCAAGAACAATAGAAGGGCATGAGACATAGGAAGGAGGAAAAAGGGAGGAGTGGAGGAAAAAAGGAAGAGGAGCAAACAAAAACAGGCACCAGGGAGGCATTTGCAAGAAGAGACTTAGAAATCTCATAGTAGATGTAGTGATGTGCTGCTAAATGCTTAGAAGCCCATTTAAAAAACTCAAATGGCTTGTAGTTTACCGATCCCTTCCTACTGTGGCTAGGAAAGATGATGATATTTCGTATTAAATACTCTGGGCATCTTAATAGGAGGAAACAGACCCCGGAAAAGGTCAGCATGCTTGAAGAGTAAAGAGTTGGCAAAGGTGAGGAAGACCCTCCAGGAGATAGATTGGCACAATGACTACAACAGTGGCCTTAAGTGCAGCGGATGTTGTGTGATGGCACGGGATTGGGCAGGGTCTTGATCTGTGTATAAGGTTGCTGTGAGTCAGAGAACTGTGGTGGCCTAGTGGTAGGGAGTTACACTGCCATCCCAAAGACACGTGGCTCGAATCCACTGGCTGCTTGGAGGGAGAAAGATGAGCACTCTCCTTCTGTGCAGCCTCTGAAGACCCGCTGGAGGGTTAGCTGTGAGTCGTTTCTGACTCTACGACGTGTAACAGTAACTACAGTGATGCAGAGTCAACTTAAGGATCCCTAACATTAGGAGCTAACGTGATTTCACTGGACGAGAAACCAGAAGAGGTGCACACAGGGGGCCGTCTCCAGCCTGCCTCCTAGCATCATCTTTGAGCTCCCACACTACTCACAGAACTCAGAACAGCCACCCAGAATGGAAAAGGACAGTGTCAGCAGAAAAGATGGCGAGGACCCCTCCTCTGCCACCAGTAAGCGGAGGCTTACTTAAGATTCCAGCAGGTGATCACAGGCTTCATGGTTTGGTGAGTGTGGTCAATAGTCAGGGCCTCCAGGAGCCAGTGGAGGGCGCAGAGCTGCCGGAAGAGGGGTTCACTGCCAAGACAAGAGAGGGGGGATCCTGTTAGAATGGGAAGAGAGGAACATAGAACAATACCAGTTAAGAGGAGCTGTGTTGGCTCCCACTGCGAGAGCTGCCACCATGTTCCTGGCAGGTGTGTTTTGCACACCTTTGCACTGACCTGGAAGGAATCCAGCAGTCCCATTGTACAGCAGTCATTCAGAGGAATGAAAGAAGTTGGGCCAGTGATAGAGCTGTGATTTGAAACAGCAGGATCCTGTGACCTGGACTTTGTGTGTGTGTAGAGAGAAGGACAATAGAGGGAGCCTCCAGCTATGGGTTCTAGATGCAGGCAGCGGAGAAGACTGAAGGCCATTCACATCCCATAGTGAGATCTGGTGGCCTAGTGGGTTAGGAGTTGTGCCAACCCAGAGGCAGGTGGTTCGAATCCACCAGCTGTTATGAGAGAAAGATGAGCAACCTCCACTCGTGATTTGCAGCCTCTGATAACCCACTGAGGATCATCTGAGAGTTGGTTCCGACTCGATGGCACACAACAGCAGCAGAGTGTCTAGTTGTTAATCTGATAAAAGTATAACAAATACACTACAGAGTGTCACCAAAGTCTGAGCCCCGGGAACCTAGTGTAGTCATATGCCCTTCACCAGAATGTGTAGTTGGATGTTGAAAGAAGACTTATTGAGGTTGCTATTTGAAAATGTACTGTTTAAAGGTAAATAAAATCCATGTTTTCTTTGTTAACCTGAGTTACCCACTTGCCATGGCATAAGTATCCTCTTGGGCACTGGGTACTTTATACACACCATTTGATTCTCCCAAGGATCTTATGGCATAAGGAGTGTTAAATTTTAGAAAAGTGAAAACAGAGGCTCAGAGAGGTACATCCACTAGCTGAGGGCCATACAGTGTGTGTTGATGATAATGCTAGACTGAATATCTCATTTAACTCTCAGGAAACCCCTGTAGAGAGGGTTTCATGACCACCTCCTCTTGACAGATGTGGGGATGGAGCCTCAGAGAGTTGAAGTGAATCTCCTGAGATCATGCTACTAAGCGATTGGTGAGGATTTGAACTTGGATCTGGTTAATCCTAGAGGCCACTCTTCTGTGAGCCAGTTGTCCCTGAAGTCAGCCCTGCGAATGGGGCCAACTCAAAAGTGAGGTCGGGAGAGGGTTAACCTCCTGCCTGCACTTTTCCTGGAAATTGGTGTCCTGACCAGTGGCACCCCACCCCAGTGTTTTTCCTCTTAAACTAATGTGCCAGCAGCCTGGTAATTGTTATTCTCTGAAAGTGTGCCCTGCCTTGATCAATACTTCCAGGGATCAGCTCACCCTCTCTGGGGCAGGGAGGAGGAATCCAGACTCCAGTCCAGGATGGCACCACCTCCCCAGGTTGTCTGGGCTCAGGGCTCAAGGATGGAACTTGCCAGGGTCACCAAGGGGCATTTCCACACCTCCCCTGACTATATCTGCCACATCTTAGAAAAACCAGATGCCAGCAGCTTTTTGTCTTCTTGGGGACTCTATCCTTCCTTCCTTCCACAAATTACTAAGCAATCACTAACCCAGTTCTCTTGGCATCCCAGGATGGTTATAAATGGTTAATCTCAGTGGCTCACTGAAAGGTGTATGATCCAAGTCAACCCAGAGGTACCTTGGAAGAAAAGTCTGGTGATCAACTTCCAAAAAAATCAACCATTGAAGATCCTAATGGATCCTAGATCTTTCTGACACAGGGTCACTGTGAGTCTGAACTGGTTGGCCGGCCACTGGTTTACTGTTACTTTAATTCTAGTGGCCTAGTGGTAAAGAGTTGCACTACCAACTCAAAGGCAGGTGGTTCGAACCCACCAACTGCTCCATGGGAGAAAGATGGGAATTCTCCTCCCATGTGATTTACAGCCTCTGAAAACTCACTGGAGGGTCAGCTGAGAGTCAATTCCACCTCTACAGAGTCTCAGTTCATCTTTAGAAGCCTCCCTCTAACCCTGAGTCTGTGCTGTCTTTGACCTGGGGCAGGTTGAGTGTATCTCTCTGAGCTTCTGCTTCCTCATCCGCAAAATGGGAATAATGATCCACCCACATCCTGCAGGGCTACTGAGAGGGTTGGATGAGATTAAAGCAACAGAATAACCAGTGGGCTTACCATTATTGGTTTCTGTCAAGCTAGGCCCTGTCTCACTGTGATCTTATCTTAGTTGGATCAGAATCTTGTGGGCCACGGGGTTTTCACTGGTTAATTGACAGAAGCAGGTCACTAGGCCTTTCTTTCTGGTCTGTCTTAGTCTGGATGCAATCTCCCATTGATTGCCTAGCAGTGCACAAGGTAGATTGATCAGGAATTGAAACCTGGTCCTCTCTCACGGAAAGCAAGAACTCTACCAGCACTGCCTCTGTGACACAGTGCAGGGGCCAAACATTTGGCATGTGATGAGACAGAGAAGTCTAGATATCATTCATCTGTTTCTGTTGCCCTAAAAAAGCAGTGTTCTCAGCCAAGGTTGATGCCAGATGCTATGGAGTCAGTGTTCAACACTATGAAACACCGTACCCTCTCCTCCTGCATCGTCCTCCTGGTTTCCATGGGGCTCAAGCCGATCACTGCAGTCACTGGGTCAGTCTGTCGCCTCCAAGAGCATTAACTGGGGAAGGAGGTCATTTCGTCTCCAGGGAGCACTTGGTAATTTCTTGAGACACTTAGGGGTGTTACAGCTGGAGGTTGCTCCTGGCATCTGGTTGAATACCCTAAAAGTCACACAGTATGTGTCCACCCCACAAATTATGGAGGATTATCTTCCTCCAGTGCCAAAGTTGGGAAACTCTGTCCTAAAGTGAAAAGTTTCTATCTTTGTGCCTGAAATATTCCACGCAAAAAAATGCTAATGCACGAGAAAAGAAGAAATGGGCTTGGACTTCGTCACAAGGGGGAGGAGATACTTGTTTGAGAAAACAGGTGGTGTTTGGAGGGTTGATTTGCTTCTGCTGCCCCATGCAAGGATGAGTTCATGCTCTCGGTCAGCAGCAACACAGGCTTCTCTGGAAAAGTGCTCCCCTTCGTCTTCAGGGAGGAAGGGGAAGTGACCCCCCCATACGCCCCACCCTGGTGCTGAACTGGTCCCACCTTTGCTCGGCAAGAGCTCTGGACAGATTTCCTCACACTTGCAAACTATTTGATATTAGAGCTTCTGGTTTGGTAAGAAGTGGAATCTCTCAGTCCTAGCTGATTTGCCACTTAGCTCTAAACCAGCGTCTGCTGCTGTTTTGTTGTTGTTGTTCTTTTACACCAAATAGCTTTGCCAGTCTTTGTCCTTCTCAGGAGGACAAAGCACAGCTTCAGCGGTTCCTGAGGCACTAGCTTGTTGGCCTTCACCTCAGCTTCAGGTGATGAACTAGCAAGACAAGGAGGTGAGGCTGTGCTTACTTACACGTGAGCCTCGGGGAGAAAGGCTGAGATGATGTTGCTGTGACAGGGCAGGAAGGGGCGGAGCACCATTTCAGTCCCTCTTCCCATCTTCTTCATCTTGTCTTCTGACGTGCTGAGGGAAGAACGGGTGGAAGCAGAGTGAATAGCTAGCAGCAGATTTAAGCCCTTTTCTATTCTTCTTAATCAGGTTTGTTCAACAGATACTTGAGACACTGACCACATGGTTCCTAAGGAGCCCTAGTGAGGTAGTGGCTTGCATATTGAGTTCCCAACTGAAAGGTCAGTTGTTCAAATACCAGCTGATCTGCAGGAGAAAGATGAGGCAGTCTGCTCCTGCTGTGATTTGCACCCTGGAAACCTGATGGCAGTTTATTGTGAGTCAGAACTGATGATACAGCAGTGGCCCCTTGGTGGTGCAGGCAGTTAATGTATTTAGCTGTTAACTGAAAAGTTGAAGGGTTGAGTCCCTCCAGAGGCTCCTTGGAGGAAAGACCTGGAGATCTTGTATTTCAGCCCCTGGAAACCCTGTGGAGCACAGTTCTATGCGGGCACATGCGGGCTCACCAGGAGTTGGAATCAACTCAACAACTGATCTGATGCTGTTTTCCAGGCACCTTTCTAGACACGGTCAGTGAACAAAGCATATGTGCCCATGCTGGTGGCTTAATGGTAAGGACTTGCACTGCCAACTCAAAGGAACACCGATTGAATCCACCATCTCTTGCTCTGGAAGAGAAAGATGGACTGTCTCCTCCCATGTGATTTATAGCTTCTAAAAACCCACTGGAGGGTCAGCTGTGGGTCAGTTCAAACTGATGGACATGATGACTCTGGTGGCACGTAACAATAATAATCTTTGTGGAAGCCAAGTGCCACATACTTTCCCTCATAAAGCAACTGGTAGGTTTGAACTGTAGACCTAGGTTTGCATCCTCATGCTTTAACCACTGTGCCATCAGCGTCCCCTGACTCTGTCCTAGGGGGTGGAAGTGTTTTCTTTGAAGTTAATGTGACCCTAGTGAAAGTGTACAAAGCAAATGTATTGTTTTCATCCAACCACTCATACATATTTGTTATAACATTAATTTCAAAACCAACAATATATAATCAGTCAATCACCCTTTCCCTACTTCTTCCCTACAATTCAGATTTTCACTCATTTTTTCTGTCCTTCTGTGTGTTTTCTTTCTTTAGTGCTATTGTGCCGCTCATTCCTTTATTGTATATAGCCTTTTCCTTTATGTATATACATGTGTTTCCCATTTGGAGTTCTGTTGGCATAGTGTGTTAAGAGTTATGCTGTGAATCAAAACGTTAGCAGTTCAAGTCCACCAAGAGGCTCCATGGGAGAAACAAAGGCAGGCTCCTCCTGTAACTACTTACAGCCTCTGAAACCCAGTGGAGGATCTTACTATGAGTAAGAATCACCTCAAAGATAGTGCTTTGTTGTCTGCTTACTAATTTATACTCCTTCTCCCTCCCTATTTCTGGTAACCATTCAACAGTGATCCTTTCTGTGTATAAATCTTTCTTTAGCTTTTTATAATAGTGATCTTGTACAACTTTTGTCCTTTTGTGAAGGATTTATTTGATTCAGCCTAGTGTTCTCCAGATGCACCTGTATGATGCAAGGTTTACTGAGTTTTTTATTTATCGTTTTTCATTGTTGCACAGTAAGTACTCCTTGGTGCAAATGTATCACAGTTTATTTATCCATAAGTCCCTTGATGCACACTTGGGTTTCCAGATGTCCATTTTAGCGGGTGAGGAAGTAAATGTTTTTGGCTCCATCGGCCAAGACTAGAGCCCGTTCTGACTGTTCACAACTTGCCAGAGCTGCTGTGAAAGCATGAAAGCAGCTGTGGGCAGTATGTTTACAATATATACATGGCTGTGTTCTAATAAAACTTTATTTCTAAAAATCAGGCAGTAGGCTGGATTAAGAATCAGTACCTTTGAATTTGATATTGGAGAAGAGCACTGAATATTTCTTGGACTGCCAAAAGAATGAACAAACTTATCCTGGAGGAGGTGCTGCCAAGGTGCTCCTTAGAGGCAAGGATGGTGACACCCTGACCCACAGACTTTGGGCATATTGTCTGGAGGGGCCAGTCCTTGGAAGAGGACATCATGTTGGGAAAGGTGGAGGCGCAGAGAGGAGAGGAAGACTCTCCACAGGATGAACCAGCACAGTGACTAGAGCACGTCAGAGATCGTGAACATACTGATCATGAGGGGTGCAGACCCAGCAACGTTCAGATCTGCTGTTGGTAGGTCGATGTGAGTGGTAGTAGACTCAGCGGAACTGAACAACAGTGGAGTGTCATTTTAAACTGGAAGTGATTCCTATTTTGAAAGAGTCACTCTGCCTTGCTTTGCAAAATGGGATGGGGTGGCCATGGCAGGCCATCCAGAGATGCATGTTAGGTACTTTACCTGCCTGCTTGAAATTCGAGGAAGAGCCTGAAGTCACAGAGTTCCCCCCCAAAAAACAAACAAACAACAACCAACCAAAATACCACAACCAGAACTAGCATCTGGATTCACCAGTTTTGTAGTGTTTGGGTTTTGTTTGGTTTTTTTGTTTTGCTTTTTTTAATTTCTGTGGGCTCTGTATTCAACTTTGAGAGCTAAGGAAACCATAGGCAATTACACTGGCATAGCCCTGTCTTCCTGGCTCACCTGCGTCTCCCAATGGTTTAACAGATGCGGAAATTAACCCAGCTTTCACACTCCTTAGTCTCTGATTTGATGTCTTCTCTTAGGCACAATAATAAGACAAATTCTATCCATTGGTCCCACACCCCAAACCTTTTGTGCTGAATCTGCAGCTGAGAAAGGAGGTCATGGAGCACAGTGGGAGAGACTGCTCCCAGGCAGAGATCTTCTGGGACATGCTTCATTTCCCTTTCCCCATGCACAATCTGTCAGCCTTAAAACTTTGCTGTAAAAAAACGTATTCTGCAGTCTTAGATCCAGAGTGCATGTGTGTGAGGTGGGGTGGGCATGGAGGGGAAGAATCCCTTTTGCTCTTACAATGTACAAGATTAAATACTTTGTGAAACAATATTTATATATGAACACTTGGTTGGATTTTTAAAAAATATATACGATTGGGATTATATTTATAGGAAGTGTTGCTTTTATGTAGGAAAGTCCCACAGAGATGATTCAGCCTGTTTTCTAATCTTTATGAAAATGAAGACTTTCTCTAGCCTTAAATTTTGACATTCAAGGTAACTGAGGCCCAGATAAATCAGATTCTTTGATTTCAATTCATGGCAACACCATGTATGCCAGTGTGGAACTCAAGTCCATAGGCTTTTGCATATATATATATATATAAATATTTTATTATTAGTAATGTATCTTAGGGAGCTCTGGTGGCTTAGTGGTAAGAAATTTTGCTGCCAACACAAAGGTATACCATTCGAATCCACCAGCTATTCTGTGGGAGAAAGATGGGCAGTCTCCTCCTACACAGTTTACTGCTTCTGAAAACCTGCTGGAGGGTCAGCTAGTGGTCAGTTCCAATTTGATGATATACAACAACAACAATCATAATATATTTTAATATATCTTTTTAGTATAATGTTTGTAATTTCTTGGAAGCAGACGACTAGACCCTTCTTCCAAGTCACCTCTGGGTGGGCCTGAGCCTCAGGGTGACGTTCTATTGGGCGTCCAGTACTATACATCTTAATGGGAGGAGATTGTCTCATCCTTCACCTGACGAGGGGCTTCTGGGTTTGAATTGCCACTCAACATGTAATCAGCACCCCAGCTCTAAGCCACTTAGGGCTCTCTGTTACCACATTAATGTTACTATTATGTTACGTGCTATCCAGTTGGAACCAAGTCATAGCTGACCCTCCGGCAGCTCTTAAGAGCCAGCGAACTGCGTACATGCAGGGAGGAGGCCCATCTTTCTCCTGGAGAGCAGCAGGGGGACTGGAATCATGTGCCCTCATAGTGGCAGTGCAGCCCTTTACCCACCAGGCCACCAGACATGCCCAGCTGTGTAATGATAGCTAACGTTCATTGACCAGTTATGTGCCAGCCTGTGTGGCATCGTGTCATTTAATCCACATACCAATCTTATGAATTTGGTACATGAATACAGGTGAAGAGAGCATCTGGCAGCACCATGGTTAAGCTCACGGCTACTAAATGAAAGAAAGGTCAGGGTGCTCTGATGGCCTAGTGGTAAAAGAGCTGCACTGTCAACCTAAAGGCAGATGGCTCGAATCCTACAGTTGCTCTGAGGTAGAAAGATGGGCCATTTAAAGCCTCTGAAAACCCACTAGAGGGTCAACTTTGAGTTGGTTCCAGCTAGATGGTGTGCGCGCACACAGAAGATCTGTAATTAGAATCACCAGTGACTCCAGAGGCGAAACCAGCCGATGATCTTCTGAGATGGTTCAGACTTACTGCCATTGATCGAGTCGGTTCGTAGTCTCAGTGCTCATCCTTTGGGCTGAAAATCACACAGGAGGAGGCCGCTCATCTTTCTCCTGTGGAGCCACTCGTGGATTTGAACCAAATCAGCAGAGACACCTGACCTTTCTACGGGCTGCATCTGTGACTATGACACCTTTCCAAACCCTAGTCGGTCCTCTCGGGTCTCTGTGAGCTGAAATAATTTTGCCAGCAACACTATGAATGAAGAAAAGAGGGGCTGGGGAGGTAAGGAGACATGCTCTAAGTTACACTGTTGGCTCAGGGGAATCTGGGACTTGAACCAAAGTCCTGGGAGGCTCAGTGTTCTGTACTGGGCAGTATGCAGTTGTTCTTTAATAACCCTCGGTCTCCACTTTTCTGCCATGGGTACACTGTAGAGATGGCCATGGCCTTCAGTTTTAATAACCAGCCTCGTACAGCACATAGAGCCCATCAGATAGCATAGAGCCAGGCCAGTGTATGAAGTGTCTCGTGTGCAAATCTCAACATAGTAAACTTTAAGTAAACCATGTCTCACACTCTGAACCATGGAGTGGGGAGAAAAGAACTATGTCTCATTACCAGAGATGAAACAAGCCCACGCAAACAATGGGGCCTTACCACCAAGTTAGTCAAGCGGCTGCAGGGGAGTCCTTTTTAGCTCCCTCCAATAACCCTCTCTTTGCCTGCTCACCTGAGCATAGTTCCTGCTCAAGGGACCAGCCTTCTCTTTATTCCAGGGAATGGCTGTCAGCTGGCTGGAGTCACTCGAGTTCTGGGCTCTCTGTGTCATTGCACAGCAGGTAGGGGGCCTGCTGAGCTCTTGAGACCCTCATGGAAGTGCTAAGGGTGTGCCTGCTTCTGTTTAGTCTGGCAATCTGAGTTCTTGAATGTAGTCATAACATAGTGACTTGCAATTTTGGCTTCATATTAGACTCCCTTAGGGGAACTTGTAAACTTGTTGTTATGTGTTGTTGAGTTGACTATGGCTCATAGTGAACAACGGCTCTGAACCTTGCCCTGTCCTGAGCCAACCTCTCCATCTCTGGCAACCTGACCTCATTGTCATAGTCATTGTGTTGGCCCACCACATCACAAAGGATGCTGGAGGTGCTGGGGCTGAAATCGGGGAATTAGCAGGTGTGTGTGGTTGTTGTGTGCCACTGAGTCAGAATCAACTCATAGCTGACCCTCCTGTGGGCTTTCAGAAGCAGTGGATCGCACAGGAGGAGACTGACCACAGTGTTGATGCTGTTGTTGTTGTGTGCCGTCAAGTTACCCGAAACTCATAGAGACCCTGTGCACAATAACCCTGTCCTGAGCAGATCTCACTGTCTCTGACACACCTACCTCCATTACCCACTTCTGTGACAATCTTTTCCAATCACTAATGTCTGCTTGCAACTGTTCCTCCTCCTTTGTATTTCCAGTTGGAGGGCTCAGCCTCCAGTGCTATATCTGCTAGTTTAATCTAAGTGTGCTTTATTGAACATAGGGTTTTCAAAGGCCTGTTATTTTACAAGTGAGGTAGAACTTTATGAGTAGGATAATGACTAGAACTTTAGTTGGTAGAGGTCGAGGGCAAGAATATTTGAAATCCAGGGAATAGCATGGCAAAGTCTGGAGGTAAGGACAAGTTTGGAAGGGCAGGGAAAGAGACTCACTTGGAACCAGCAGGATTCCTCATGTAGCTCTTACTGTCAACCGTGAGGACAGATAATACGTAGTGATGACATCACTCAACCCCACTGGGTAGCATTCACTCCCAGTGATCCTTCCCAAGACCATCAGTGCCGGAGCCCCCCCAGCCACACTCACCTCAAAAGAGTGTCACCGAAGTGTATATCGGAGCTCTTACTGGCTGGCTGGAATTTCTTTCTTTCTTCCTCTTCCATTTTCTGACGTTGCTGATCCATCTTTTTCTTTGCGCTCTCCTCCTTAAGCATCGTGAAGTATCCCCGGCCGATCTTCACTGACTGAATGAAGAATCTAGAGAGAGTCGGAGGAGTAACCTTGAAAAGGTGAAGACAGCACCCTTATGAGTTGGCTTGGTAATCTCTGAGAGGCACTGGGGATACAGGGAGCCTCCCCGCTTTTACCGTTGTGGAGGTGCCTGTCCCGCCGTTGACTTCTGGACCCTACTTGTAACTTTACGTGAGTCATTCAGCCTGTCTAGGCCTTGATATAGGCAAGGCCTGGGCAGTGTTTCATTTGATGTATGCAGGGGGATTGGCAGGGTATCTGGCATTGAGGGATTCATTTGATGCATACAGAGGGGTTGGCAGGGTGTCTGGCTCACCCATGCTCTATGATGGTGCTGTGTAGATCGTCCTGGGTCAAGGCTGCCTTCTCTTCAGTTTGCATGAGTGCTAACTTTGGCAAGCACAGCTCAGATGTGCGAGTAATAATGTGCAGGAGCTTGCTGTTCCAGGTAACATATGTGGGACTTTACTGTGCTCCTTCTTTTCTTCCTCAGCCACTGTTCTAATCAGATGTCTCTGTACTGGCTTGCTTTAGCCAACCTGTACCTGATGGTTTGTGCACTCCCCTCCCCCTTTGTCTTGACATTAGAGCTGGTGACCCTAGGAGGTGACAAGGAAGGAGTGAGGTGTGCACATATCTTTGTCCATCTGTCTATCGATCTCACTATCTAAGGTGCTGTCAGGGACTGTATTGAGCCACTCCCACTTCTTGTAGCTATAACTTTTGGTGAAGAAATTAAATTTCGCTAATTTTCCAAGTAGTAAGCCAGCCCCAGGATATTCTGGACATTGTGCTGACTGTTGTGAACGTGATGATGAACAAGACATAGATCCCTTACTTAGAATGACTGATGTAGCCGGCGAGAGAGACATGAGTCTAATGATAGAGCCGAATGTTGGGCCTGGAAGGACGTGGGGCTACGTGTGGGTGCCTACTTCAGTCTTGGGCATATCCCTGGAGGAAACAATAGCTCCTCCCCCATTACCAAAGTTGCCCTCTTCCCTCTCCTGGATGCTTTCTTGGGCCCAGTTTTGGATGGGAAAATTCGCACCAAGCTGTCATGGCTAGACTGATGTTGTTGTTGTTATGTGCCATCGAGTCGCTTACGACTCATAGCGACCCTGTGTACAACAGCCCTAAACTCTGCTCTGTCCTGTGCCAATCGCACTGTCTCTGATACTCCCATCCCGATTAACCAGTCACTGAATCAATCTACCTCATAGAGGGTCTTCCCCTTCTACGCTGTCCCTCTACCCTCCCAAGCATGATGTCCCTCTTCAAGGACCGGTCCCTCCTTACAACATATCCAAAGTATGTCAGATGAAGCCCCAGAATCCTTGCCTCCAAGGAGCAGCCCAGTTTAACCCTCTCCAGGATGAATCTGTTTTCTTGGCAGTCCATGGTATATTCAATACCCTTCTCCAGCACCACAGCTCAAAGGCGTCAATTCTCCTTCTATCCTCCTTGGTCATGGTCCAACTCTCTGATGCATAACAAGTGATTTCAAAGACCATAGCCTGTATCAGATGCACCTTAGTCTCCAGAGTGACACCATTGCTCTTCAGTACTTTGGAGAGGTCCCTAACAGCAGACTTTCCCAACGACAATATGTCTTTTAATTTCCTGGCTGCTGGTGCCAAGAGTGTTGATTGTGGAGCCAAGTAAACTAAAGTTGTTAACAATCTCAATCTCTTCACCATCCATCCTGATGCTGCCAGTTGGTCCAGTGGTGAGAATCTTTGTCTTCTTGACATTGACCCTCAGTCCGTACTGAAGGCTGTAGTCCTTGACCCTCTACGGCAAGTGCATCAGGTCCTCCTCAGTTTCAGCAAGCAGGGTTGTGTCATCTGCATAACGCAGATTGCTGAGATAGATCTTCCACCAATCCTGACCCCACATTTCTCCTCATAGAGCCCTGCATTTACTCAGAAGCATTACGGTGTTACTATGGGTGACATTTCATTTCAGCCAGGACCACCTATAAATGTCCATTAGGAAAATGCTGGAAAGTGGGTGGTGGGCCTTCCCTAGCATTTTTCACATTGTTCTGCCCAGGTATAGCCAAATAATGACCTGCATTCATTTGTGTTGCTGGCTGACATTGATTGAGAACCTGCTATTGCAGGTATAAGTATAGGACACTAGGCCTACACAGAAGAGTAAGAAAAGGCATCCAGAGTTTACAGTCCATTGGGAGAAGCACATCCATAAATATCTCAACACAGTTCCAAAGAACCCAGAGATATCTAGGAAGACTTTCTGGAGGAGGTGATATTTGGACTGAGTAGAAAAATCACCAGTAGGAGAAGGGGGAAGTGGTCCACCAGTGGACAGAATATCAAAATATCAAAGAGGTGAGTGTAATGGCCTACTTAGGAAGCAGCAGGCATCTTAGAACATCTGGACCACAGCAGGCTGTATGGGAGAGACCGGAATTAAAGTTGGAGGACTTGCCAGGCAGCAGGTCATACAGACACGCTGCCTCATACACTCACTCATTGTAGTCAGGTCAGAATCAACGTATAACTGACACTCCTAAGGGTTCTGAGACTGTAAATCACATGGAAGGAGATTCCCCATCTTTCTCTCTTGGAGCTGCTGGTGGGTTCAGACAGCCAGACACAAATCCCTTCTGGTAGCATTAGAGCTCCCTATGGGTTATACTACCAGAACTTTCTGTACACGGCCTGTTGTTGTAGTTGTGTACCACTGAGCCAGAACCAACTGGTAGTTGACCCTCCAGTGGGTTTTCAGAGGCCTTGAACTACGTGCCTTTGTAATTGCAGCACAACTTCTTGCCACTAGGCCACCAGAGCTATATGCTTTTATTCCAAAAAAGAAGGATTAGATACACATTTAAGGGCAAAACAGCAGGACACAGGAAAAAGAAGATTAAAAAAATAACATCAGGTGAAGGCAGGTAATGAAAAATTGTGTCTCTGTGTCTGGGGACACATATTTGACCCGGAGCATCTGAGCGGCCAGTGCAAAGAGGGGAACAATCTTTCACACGATTCCTGACGGCGGAAGCAGTGAGGAATTGCGCTGCAGCACAAAGGCGGCGCAGTTTGCATCCACCAGCTGCTCTGCTGGAGGAAGACGGGAGGCTCCTCCCATGCATTTACTGCCTCTGAAACCCACTGGAGGAGGGTCAGCTGAGGGTTGGTTCCAACTCAGTGTTAACATAACAACAACATAAGATTAATTTTTTTTAGATTGTTGAACAAAAGATTTTTTTTTAAAAAAAAAAAACAGAATTCCAAAACTCGATAGTCAGTGTCTGTAACTCCCAGTCCTGAACTAGGAGGAGATTCCTCTCCAGCATCTGGTCAGGGGAGGATAACATAAAAAAGCCAAGCAAATCACTAGATGCAACTAGAGTGAATACCGGTCTCACCAGGTGACCACAGGCCTGGACAATGAGTGGTGGCTAATGGCAGGAATCAGCCCAGCTGGCCCCACTCTCAGTGCTCGTCTCCTGGAAGTAGCTAGTGAGAGATGAAGGGAGCTGATGAAGGGGCTGGGTCCTCATGTCAGACACACTGGTCTATTCTGGGATCCTCAAAGACTACAGGCTGTTCATTCAGCGAGCTCACAAGCACTCCCCCGGCACCGCAAAGGCCCATTTAAAAATGCTTAATATTTTAGCAAATTCCCATTTAATTCCCTTGTATGTTCCCTGCATTTTCCTCATCATTATTGCTGATTACCAGGCTATTTGTGTGAAGGGAGCTATTTGCTGGGAAGAGCCGCTTTTGCCTTTAAATCTACTCACCCGGGGCCTCCTGCTTGCTGCTTTCCGGCAGTAGAACTCCCCCGGCTAACATTGCAGCAGAGCGATGGGGAGGGAGATAATTAACTGCATCAGGCAAGCGGAGGATGAGGCGGATTAGAAAATGCAAAGTTTCCTCTGCCCAGCTCAATTTCTTCCTGACTGCTGCCTGGGAGGCCGCAGGGTTTTGTTTTTAAGGGGCATATGCTTTCTGGTTGGGAGCCTGTGGGGGTGCGGACAAGTGCGGGATGCTCAGCAGGGCCTGGCTGAGGAGGACAGATGCCTCCGCAGGAGAGGGCTTCAGGGCTCACTCCTCATGGAGAGACCATGGGGAGGACAGCGGTTTGCTCTGGCACTCCTTTGTCATGAGGTGCCATCAAGTGGAGCGCGCGCGCGCGCGCGCGCACACACACACACACACACACACACACACACACACACACACAGTGGGATGAAGCACTTGCAGATTCTGCACCATCTTAACTCTCATTGCTCGGTTGCCTTGTTGAAGCTGCTGGGTATTTTGAGAGCCTTCTGACTTTGGAAGCTTGTCGCCCAGCACTTGGTTCATTGCTGTCAGTTGGAACTGACTCACAGCTGACCGTCCGTTGCGCTTCCGAGGCTGTCAGTCATACTGGAGGAGTATGCACGTTTATCTCCCTTGCAGCCATTGGGGGATTTGAACCACTAGAGCGGCATGGTCTTTGGGTTAGTAGTGAAACCCCCGCCCATGGATTTTGCCACCAGCACCCCCTTTGCAACACTGTGTCAGACAGTAGTCTGTTGTGAGCCACAGGGTTTTCGTTAGCTGATTTTCAGAACTGGATTGCCAGACTTTTCTCTCTACTCTTACTCTGGAAGTTCAGCTGAAATACATTCAGCATCACAGCAACACACAAGCCTGCGATGAAAGAGTGGGTTTTGGAAGAACGACAAGTGTATTGGTTACGAATCCAACTCAAGTCTCCTGCATGGAAGGCAAGAATACTATTACTAAATTCCAGCCTGTATCAGCCAAACGTCAGTCTGCCTATGGACACAGGAGCCAGAAGTACTTGACAGTCTGCGTTTTTCAGGTGGCTTGTTACACAGCATTGTGGTGAAAATAGGTGACTTTTATAAGAGCCAACTCTTGCAGGACATGTCATTATTTTATGAGTCACAAAGAAAGAAAAACACGTACCAACTGAATCCAGACATGATTGCATAATGTGCTCTAATTTCAGAGATGTTA